GTAAAGTGAAGTAAGGGACAAGACAAGAAGCCAACTTTATTTAGATTTTTTCTTTTTGGCTTTTAATATCAGGTATTGTGCATCAACTCAGCTTTCAGTCATTCAGTAAAGATTCTGCTAATAGTCTTGCTAATTTTCACTCAATTCTTATATTTTAAGACATATCCAACTTCTTTTGCAGTCATTATATGCTACTTATTTTTAGTTCTGTTCATTAGAAGCAATTTGGGAAAAACCTGAATTACAAGATTTACCTGTACAGTAGAATTATAATATGTATTTACAGCATTAAATTAGCATTTCTTTTCTTTCTGCTGACTACAGCCATATTTAATTAAATGATAACAGTTATGCATATGTGATTGTTTATTTAAATTTTCACTTCAGATTTGATTACATTAATATTATGGTACTATTACATATGATCTGTATTATGAGTTGCACTTTATAAGTGGCTGTGTAGGAGGAATAGGAATAAATTACTTGATCTTTTTCCATCGTGGAAAACAATATAATTATATTAGATATATTAAAGAAATTAAACTCTTCTGAGAAGTAGCAAAAATGCTCCAGATTTGTATTGCCATCTGCAGTCAAAGACATATACTGAAGAATCACAAGGAATATATTTATGTTAGTACATAATATTATATTAGGTTATTATACAGCTTTCAATTAGCCAATATGTGGTGCTATGTATTATTCTTAGAGACTACACTTACGCTCCTGGAGAAAATCAATTTAACATCTTGTTATTTCCTAAGTATAATTTATAAATTAAGTAGTTATTAATTTTTTAATCTAAAAGAATGAAATTATCTCTTGCTGATACTGTTAGTCTGGTGTATCATAAGTTACTTTCATGTTCTAAAATCTTAAATGATCAGTCAGTTTTCCAGATGATGAATATTATCAGTGGTGTGACACATACCAAATGCTTTAATCATTATTTGTTGGAATCTCTCTACAACTCCCACAGTGTAGATACAGTACTGTTACATAGGAGGTCTTGTTCTCCTTAGTGCATCTGAATACCTGAGGTTTAGTATTTCAGACTTGGTAATCAGCTGACAATGAGTGCCTTATTTTGTATCCCACTCCAGCATTGAGGCTAATGACTTGTAAACTCTAGGTCAGAGACCAGCCATTATGCAGGGTGCCTTCATAGCCAAAAATGTCTGTGACATTTATCAGCTGCACTGGAATTTTAAGGGAGAAAAAAAAAAAACAAAACAACCAACAACCTAGTTCCTTCTGTCATATTAGTACCTTCATGGAACATTTTATAGGGTTTAGGTGGAAAGCATGTAGTATTAGTGTATGTTATTGTCTTATTTATTTATTAAAAATAACTTAAGGCCATAGAATGACTTAAAGTTAGCTAGAGAAATGATTTTAAAATTTGCTACTTTAGGCCTCCTGTAAGTTGCATAAATTGAAAAAAATGAGATTTTTTGGTTTTTTAATGCCTAAACACCAGAAAAATACAGATTGCTTTTCTCAATTCAAATTTTGCCATGGCCTGGCTGTACTTGGTTAATGAACTGATGTAACAGAACTTAGAGGCATTGTCCTCCCCAAGTGGAAGTACAAGTCTTAAACAGTCCCTCGTGCTGTTTGCATGTAACTGTTTTGTAGGTTGAATATGCAATTGAAAAGGCCTAAATTGGTCTCAATGGTAAAGATAAAGCGTCTGTATTTAAAATTCAGGATTAATAAAACATGTCTGTGATTGTACACGGTAGAAGCTTCCAGCAGTCCCATTCACTTTGTGCCCCACGATTTCTAATTTCTTGTATTACTGGAATGCCAGCAATATGAAAATGTGTTTGACTAAACATGTGTTAAAGGGATAGTGCCAGTATAAAAGTATGTTTGTGTAAAAGAGCTGTATCAACAAGTTAGTAAATATGTTTTCATTTCCTGTTGTGTGTGAGCTTAACAGCTTTTCATGAGCCAATTTCATGGCTTCCTCAAATAATCCATCTCAGGCACACTGAAAACAAACAACCGCTTTCATGGATATATACAAAGGATTCCGTGGTAAAAAGAAGAGCTGGAAAGCTCAGAAGTTAGTCATTGTCGTGTTACATAGATTCAGTTGCTTATCTTTTACTGAATGTTAATTGCCTTGTAGAAAAAAATTGTTATTCTAGCTTGTACTTTATATCTTGAGGAGGTGGGGTGATCCTATAATAAAAGTGAAGGGGAGCTAAAACTGGGAAGTTAATGTTACTGCTTTTCCTTACCTCTTTTAAGGAGGAGATACTCTTTACTAATTAATTAACTCTGACTTTTAGGGAAGATATTTTTCTCAAGATCTTCTATTTCTGAGGGGTTTGGAAAGAGAGTTCGCTGTATTCATATTACAGGAATACATGCTTTATAGACTCTGCAAATTGTTTCTTGAGAAAGTAAACCTCTAATGGACCTAAAGACCTTTCAGACATTTCTAAACCTAATGTGGTTTGCCACACTGCAAGATTCATTGCCTGCTAAGAAAAGACCAAAATGACCTGATTGTGAAAGCCCCCATTAGATTCCCAACAGCTCCACAACACAGTAAAGTGTAAGAGAAGTGTTTGTGCTTATGTTCTCTGAGATTGTTGCTTGAATGTTATAAGCTTTTGTGCTTTGACTGTCAACTCTTAACTTTTACCTGAGCAAAAATCAGATTTATCAACAGAAGATCAACTGTAATACAAATTAGAAACTAGCTGCATATTTCCTAATTCAGTCATTTCTAAATTATCGTTCATCACAAACACTTGCTTCATTTGTCTTCAACTTAATATTTGTGCTGAAAATAATAAGATTTTCCCAAGAATATGAAAGAAACATCCCAGAGAGAATTCTCTATTGAAAAGTTAATAGCTGTAATTTAAAGGTAGAACTAATTTTTCTCTGTTTGCTTTCAGGGATGCAGAGAGGCTTGAAGAGTTCTATACCAAGAACCAACAACTCAGAGAACAGCAAAAAGCACTTCATGACACCATCAAGGTTTTAGAAGACAGGTGAAGTAGTGTTTTCTAGCTTTTGAGTTTGCTGTGTTTTGCTCTTACAGAGTAGCTCTGGATACTTTACCACTTGAATTTATTATGTTTTGGTGGTTTTGTTATATTGTTATTTTTGAAATGCTTAGTTTGCTTAGTTCAGTTAAGATAAATAAAATAGAGCAGCTTGGGAGGCAAACAGACAGTTTAGGGTGCATTCTCTTACATCCATTTTTGTAGAGGTAAATTTACATATCAGCCAAGACATAATACAAGTACAAAACCCAAAGGCTATAATATATTGTGAAGCTCATTAAATAACTCATTAGGAAATCTTTCAAATTTGAGGAAATCTTTTTTGCCAGTTGTCTGTTTTACCTAAATTTAATTACAGGTTCTGTCCTTTGGTTTCTTTTGGACTTAGTTGTTCTCATTGCCTTTTGACTCGTTCTGCCTTTCCCTTATTTGTTCCTGTTTAACCTGGTAGAGCAAAACAAAACCAACAAACATGAAATTACAGTGCATTTTTTCATCTTTAAAAGTTATACCTGTTTTGGAACGTGTATGTTAAATTTGCTGTTAATAGGCTCTCAGAAGCTTTCTAGGAACAGGACATCATTACGTAGTAAATTATTTTCCAACATTCCCTGTTACTTCACTCATAGTGTGGATGGACTTTTCTAATCCTTTAGCAGATGAAGAGTTTACATTGCAGAAAACTAAAAGAGTACTTAAAATGATTTAATACAACGAGATTATAATATGTTGTCTGTTATACAATTAGATAATATGAAGAGGCATTCCAGTATTTATTCTTTCCATAATTCCACAATATTAGAGTACCAATAAACCAGTATGGCTTTTACTTCCAATATTCAACTGTTTGGAAATTGGAAATTGAAATTGGAAACTTCGTTTGTTTGGGTTTTTTAAATACTTCATGTGGTAGCAGCAGCAGTGCAGAACTGTTGACTGACTGGTTTCTTATTTAGCAGGCAAAAGAGAGTCTGCTTTTCACTTTGGTAATACTGTTAGCTTTTTATTGTGTACCAGAAATAAATATACTTCAGTTATCACCTATAAAATGAACATATATTTCATTGCATGAATGAGTGTGCCAGGTAAGATGGAGTGATTGTAACAAGTACTTTCTGGTCGCAGATGTGCTTTAAACAGCTGATCTAAACCATTAGAGACAGTGAAGTCAATGCCTCACATGACAAACTTTTGGATCCACTTTAGTTATTGGTGTCTACATAAAAGATTTCACATTTGCACGGCATTTGTTATGGAGTGAACTTTGTCCTTTTTATTTGATTGTTTTGCTTAATGACAGTAATATATCCTTCTTAGATAAAGTAATAATACTGAATACTTTCTGAAACACTTACTGAAATTGTTTGCTTATTTGTATTTTCTTGAATGAACTTTACTTACAATGACTGGTAATTTATGTCTGACATTATCCTTAGTAGGACATCTCACAAAGGCTTTCAGTGGCAAAGTGTAGCATGCTCTACTTCATTTAATAAAGTAATGCATGTTGCTTTAGAAGTGTCAAGTGTTTACAGTCATTTATGCAACTGTTAGTTCATGTAGTATTAGGTCATTTGGAAATCTTAAAATATTGCTATGTCAACATATAAACCCACAGTACTTAGTGGCATTCTGCACAGTTTTCTGGTATTCATTGTTCAAAAGGTCTGTTAACGTGGATATCTGCTTCATGTATGGCAATATTTTCTTAACAGAGGGACATTTTTTTCTCAATTTTATTGTAGACTAAGAGCAGGATTATGTGATCGATGTGCTGTAACCGAAGAACACATGAGAAAGAAGCAACAAGAGTTTGAAAACATCCGGCAGCAGAATCTCAAACTTATTACTGAGCTTAGTGAGTTTTATCCACAAGTCTGAAGGCAAAACATACTATTTTGTAGACTAGCTCTTCATGAATTCCTGTAACTTGATATAATTTATATGTGGTGTGCTTAGTAAACCCAAAAAGTTCAGTCGGGGGATACTTTAACTTTACAGTCTGAAAATATGTAACATACCAGTTACTAGTCATTTGACCCACCTTCTTAGATTGAAGTGCTGATACCGAAAGTGAACTGACGTGGAAAATCTTACTGTGTAAAGTAGCTACTTTAGATAAAATGTGGCTGCTTCTGTTTATTCCTGCAGCTAGAATGACTGATTGCCAGCTTTCCTAAAGAAACCATGACTTCAAAGGAACTGGTGATCGCAAAGTAGCAGGTTCAGACTAAGTGCCCTGGGTCCAGCTTGTGTCCCGTAGTTAGCTGAACTTGAACTTTAACTGCAGTAAACCCATAACTTTCACATGACCCACGGAAACCACAAAAGAATCTACACCAGGCAGCTTGTAGGCAGCACACTTTGAAATCAGGAAGTAGTACATGTGGGGCAAAATAAACTCTTCTAGGTGACATTCAAGCAGGACACAAATGCATTTATAAAGAGAGTTTGGAAAGACTGGTTGTATGAAGTGCTAAATAATACAGGACAGGATACTAAAATGTTAGTTGTATCTTTACCATTAATTATTTTGTATTATTTAGTTGTCTTGCTTGATCAAGAGCAAGCAGACTTTCAATGAGATTTAAAACATGAGAAATTCCAAATACAAAAAGTAGCTTTTCAATGCTTAATTAAGTTATGGAAATATTATGTTCCGTGCTAATACAAAATACATCAATTTTTGAAGGATTTTTATTATTGGACATTTGTGTAAAAATATTCTGAATTCTGTGTTTAATGATTGGCTGAACCCTGTTAATCTTTAAATAAAGCTCTGAACCTTAAAAATCAAGGTGAGACCTATTAGGTACAAACCTTCTGGAACACTGTCTGACAGAACAGTAGGATTCTGTGGATTTGGGTTGAGATCTATATGACAACCAGTGGAAAAGGTCAGTCAAAAGTAATCCAGTGGTAAAATATAACAACAACAAAATAAGAACAAGAATACAAAAATTAAAGCAAACAGAAAAGTTGGGAGCTAATCACTATGTTAGTTTGAGACAGCATGGAAAAAAGGCTGAAGGGTGATGCCATAAGCTTGTGTGAAGCACAGACAGAATGAATTGGAAATTAAGAAAAGTAAAATCAAAAAGTTCTGATTAGTCTCTCTTAATTTCCAAAATATTTAACTGATTTTAAAGAAATTCTTGGTGGAGGATTTTTTTCATTCTCTTCAACTAGCTGGTTGCTTCAGTGGCTAAAACCAAATTCTAATTGTTTTGTACTTCATGGGTTATCCTCAGTCTAAGGAAGCAATTTTGTCCATGAATTCAAGTGAGCAATTCATTCATATTTACAGCACAGTCTCGCTTGTATCTACATGGAGAAAAGTAATTAATGAATGTGTAAAACAAATATTATGATCCAGTAATTGTGACACCTTTCCCTTTTCTAACACATCATTTGCAACCTTTTTAATGATTAGCTTGAAACTTCGTTTTTGTAAACCATAGAGAGGGTTTCACATTTTACAATTTTACATTTTGTAATTAGTTACAATTACAATTAAAGGACCTGGCAAAATTATGATATTAACATATGTTTGTTGTTTTTCTTTTTCTCTTTTTTTGTATAAACTGCAGTGAATGAAAAAAACAACTTACAGGATGAAAATAAAAAGATAACTGAACAGTTCCAGCAATTACAGAAGGAGCTGGAGTAAGTTTTGAGTTGTTTTAGATATTTCCCCCTTTCCCCTATTCCCCAGTAGAAATGTCTGGGAATATAAACATCAGCTTTTAAGTGTTTAAAACTTGTTTCCTTATTTTGATAGATTGTGACAAGACAGCATACTGCCACTATAGCAACATAAGCCTACCCTCTTTCTGTTGTGCAGATTTTTTGTTTTCTTTTAAATGAGCACATCTTTTTTTAAACCGAGAGAGGTAAATCTGTCATAGGAATTTTTTTGACCTCTGGTCATGGTATATAGCAAAGCCTTATGTCTCATACTTTTATTCCTCAGTCCACTCTTTATCAATTCTTTCCTTCTAGGTTAAAGCTTTAGAAAAGTAGTTTCTTAGAAAATCCCAGGATCTTACAATAAATTTTTAAAATAAACTTACAATAATGTTACAATTTTAAAAGAAAAAAGACCATAGTAAATTTTGAAAGAAAACCATGAAAGTGGGAAGCTGTGAAGTGACCATCAAATTTTAATTTGAAGTAGCAAGACTGTGCCATGTAATGTTGTGGTTAATATGCAGATATGCTGCACTGTGCAAGTCAGAGGTAGTGTTCCATTCTTGTTATGGTTTGACATCATCTGAAACTTATCTCACTTTTGCATATCTGTGAATAAGTTGTGTACATGCACGGGGGAAGTGGGGGAGGATGTGTGGACGTGATATGTCAGCCTTTTTATGCACCTAATTTTTTCTTGTCTTTGTCAGAAGATAGCTTCGACAGAGAAGTAAAACAACTAGATTTCTATTCAGTTACTGTGGTCCTATTACTTTGTATTTCTTGGTTTGTCTCCCATCCTTTGCACCTTAATTGTAATTTCTTTTTCTGTATGCATTTAATCTTCTTGGAGTAACGTACTTCATGACCGTAGGAGTATTACCTTTTAGTACCAAGTAGGAACAAATTTCTATATCCTTCGCCATGTGTAATTGCTGCTCAGCAGCAGTTCTTCTATGCAGTGAGGAGATGACTTGAAAAAAATTAGCACCAGGCAGATCCATCCTAATTCATTGAGTTTGATCTCCAATCTTGTGGTTTAGCTTCCTGTAAAAATCTCCAGCCAACGTGAGAAAGTTGAGAATGACCAATGTAACACGAAGTTACTTGCTCTGCATGTTAGGTGGTCATGTAAATGAGTGCAGAGTTGAGTGGATAAACACTAATTAACAAGGATGGTCCTTCTGTTTTAATATAGTCACTGCATTTGAATGTTTTGGTTTAACTATAGTCATGTTACTTTATTTAGAAGTAATAACTTAGATCAATATACTGTCAATGTGTAGGTGTAAAATAGCAAGTTGTTTCTGGTCCATGACATGAAATCAGATTTTTGCAGTCTTCTGTATTTTGTTACCAAGGTGTAATAATAGGGAAAAAAATGTAAGAATTCTCCATAAAAGTGAAATCAATGAAATTGTAGAAGAATTGTATTATCTGACTCTTTATCAGATTAGGATTTCATTATGCGTGGATGGAAACAGCAAGGAAATTTCTGCTAAAACCTTTTCTGAGGTGTCAGATAATTCCATGGTTCAGAACTTATTATGTAGTTATGTATATAGCAGCTTTTTCAGTTGATGGCGTTGTTTTGTGATGGTATGTAGGAACTACCTCTTAGTTTGCACGGAACTGCCATACTGAAAAATACATTTATAGTAGGTTAATTTGTCATACAAGGCCACACACGCCAGTAAATTTGAAGAGAACTTTAACAGACAACTTAAATTTGCAAAGTAAATAGATGAATGAATTGTTTTGCTGTTTGTTTTGATTTATTTCTTAAGATATTGCTAGTAGATGATACAGTTTTCCAGTGCTTTTTTTTTTTTGTAAATCTGCTAGAAAAGAGGAATTACAAAATCACACAAAGGATTTGTCAAGGCTTCGGAGCATCAAGTGCGTCAATGTTTGTTATTAAGTGTTCAGAGTTAATCACAGTAAAAAACCTAACTGCAAAAATGCTTTTTGTCTTAAGCCAGACAGCTTTTTACAGTTTTCCATTACCTTATTTTATGTAAGATCTTGTGGTTCACTTCAATCCAAGCAGAAATATATCTGCATTTCCTCTTCTTCTCTTAGATCAAAACCTTATATCCTTCTCTTTTTATAGTTAGGAAATGATCTTTTGGCCTGTGTTTTCTCTTGAGAATCAAGGAAAAGTGCAACTGCAGAAAGATGACCAAGCAGGCCAAGTTAGATTTCTGTGTAATTTTCTTTTACTACCTCTTCCATTTCTCACTGCCACCACCACAGAGCAGGTAGCCTCTTATTAAGTACTAAACAAAGTGTATTTAAGTTAAAAGATCCAAAATTAACGCTTTTTTTGTTGTTATTTCCTTGCTATGTCTAGATACAGTTTTATGAAAGACAATACAGTTATTTTTAATGCTAATTTTTATATACTGACTCTGCAACAGGCTGTTAGAGCTGACAGTTTGAGAGAAGATAAACGCTGCAACTCATTTTCTGTTTTACATTACCTGCTTTACATGCTTTTTACATTAATCTCTGAAGACCTTGTGAATTGGAGGTAACATCAGATGTTTTGTATTTAAGACAGTTAGTATTCTTGGGATGTACTGGGAGAAGAGACACTAATCCATCTGTTTCAGCATTCTTTTGTTAAAGTAGCACGTGCTTCAGAGAGCGAACTATAAACTCTCCAATGCCTAGGTTCTTCCAGGGAAAAGGTCTTCCACAGTGCAGTAGTTGTATGTTGACTTCAAGTGTGAAGAGCTAGGGTTTTATGCTGTTCCTTGGCTTGATGGAGCAATGGTGAATTTGGTTTTAGATGTATCTAAAACCTGGCTTGTAGTATTACTTTTTTACACTGTGATGCTATTGAGATGGCTGCATTTCCTAATTGTTGCTTTCTTGGACCATATGATTGTCCTGCTTGCTGAAATGAAAACTCTTCATCTTGCTGACTTTTATTTGGCCACCTGATTTGATCTTCAGGGAGCAAAAGCAACAAGCAGTGGAATTAGAAGAAGGAGTCATTCCAGATTCTCCAGTTCTGACCTCTTCATTTTCTGTGGTTAATCGTATGAGGAGAAAAAAAGAGAATAGGCATATCCGATACACAGAACATGCACACTCAGATTTGGAACTTAGCAACAGTGGTAAGAGTACTGGTTTTGATTTTTTTTTTTTTATTAACTTAAAAATTATCTTAAGGGCTATAGAGAAAAATGATGTATAAATTTGATTGTAAAGGGCAAAAACTAAAAAAAATAAATAATCTTATGCCCTTTTTTGGTTTGCCTTTTTCCTTTTTGTGCAATAATACGTGACTCAGGGGAAAATGTCTTTGACAGTAACTGTTAAGTCAGCAGTATGCTCAGAACTTATCTCAGCCTTCTACTTTTCTTCATCCATGTGCAAATGTAACAGTTTTTCAACCTGTATTTCTTCCGTAAGTACAAATTAGCTAAAAAAAATCTGTTCTAGTTTGCCTTGTGCATGCAGCGATGCCACCACCTAGCGGAGAGGGAAACAAATGTTTTGCCACATTCTGCAATTCTTCTGCAGAATATGCAAATTAAAGTAGTTTTACTGAAACTGGTAGATACCTACATGATCTTTCTTCTTCTAGTACTGATACACCATTTGCATTTGTTTTTTGTCTTAAGTCTAGGAATATTGTCCACAGTTTATTTCCTGACTTTGTTCTGTAAGTTCTAATGTATTTTAACTATGAGAAATATTTTTGTGAAATAAGGGTCTCTGTGCTTGTGTTTTAATGATACACAGGAAATACGATAATCCAGGTGCTCTTATTTTGTTAATCTATGTTCTGGCATAAAAAAAAGGTATTTTAAATAATGTATGAGTATATTTAAATAGGAGTCTTGACTAAAAGCCTCTTTTGAAGAACAAAAATAGGACAACAGTGGGGTAAAAAGGGTGAGCTGGTTATTCATGGCCTTTAGTTTGCATTTGAAATTTTTAGTACAGTGAATAATTTCTCCTTTCTAAGCATAGCTATACCTCTCCATTTTCTGAATAAAAAAAATGGAGCTACTAAATGAATCCAAAGTATAATATGTAAGAAATGGTGTAAATACCTATCACAGTTAATGCCTATGGAAAGCTGTTGGTCGTCTGGATGGAAAAGACTACATGGCAGAGCTGACCATAATTCAGATCTCAGGTTTTCACCTTTTCACTTTATTACGTTAGCTGATGCAGAACATTAGTCCCTTGGATGGTTTACTCTCTGATTGTTTTGTTGCCATATTAACAGGTAAAATAGAGCTTGAATACATATATTTATGTGGTCAGTATAGACAGTGGTGTAATTCTGGGATCATATTTGTGAGAAAAAGGATTAATATGAAATATTTGTGACTTTATTCTGAGGTATCATTATGACAAATTATCAGGTGTGCTTAGATTACTGGATCTACTGACATATCAAAACTCATATTCAGGAGCTTTTAAGGTCAGGATCATTGTCTGTGTCTACACAAAATTATCACAACAGGATACCTAATTTCACTGAGTGAAAATGTTTCTACATCTCCTAGAGTTTGGAAAAATTCCACTCTTTTCCACACAAGTGAGCAGTAACCACAGAGAAGAGATACTAGTGGCAGACACCTGTGATCCACAACTGTCCCCTGTACCAAGTAAGTGTATTAATAGATTTAGTTCTAATTCCATTCAAAATAAGGCAAAAATATTGTAAACTGAGGGTTCATCTCTTTAACAAAGAAATGTAAAAAGGTGCAAACCTTTTTAACTAATGACTGTGAGAATTAGCACGGAATCATTCGTGCAGGTCATGGTTGTGGTGGTTGTAGTTCTTGTACTTTCCAATCTTATTAACTTGCACCAGCATAATGAACTGTGTAATGTTAAACCCCTCTAAGGGAAACTCATCTATTTGTTTTTCTAATAAAAACATAGGAAAAATAATGGTGACTGTCACCAAGGAAATATGCAAGAGAAGCATTTTACTATAAATATACGTTACCACTGTTCTATGTGCTTTTCTCAGACTATTCCTGCCCTGGACTGGGAGATTGAAAAGCAACTTTTACACTGACTTGTCTTTGTATGTTCATTTTTGGAAGCTATTTTCAGATTGGAAGCATATTTCTCTGTGCTGATACAGCAGTTTGCTCTCATCAGAAATTCTTCTTCTGCCCCCCTCTTCCACTTAGCACTTTCAGATATGATTTTTATCTGATACAGGTCAAACTATTTCCATAAATGCCAGTTTTAATTTGTGAACTTTTTAGTTCTGCGTTTGTACCATCTGTGTGAGTGGAGTAAGAGACTATAATATATATGTAACTTACTGTGATCTTCTCACAAAGATAAACCAAGAGTAGGAGGCTATCCCATTCCAAAACCATCTTTTAACTTGGCTGCAGTTGTCGCAGAAACTATTGGACTTGGTGTTCAAGAGGAATCTGTAAGTAGTATTCCCAAATTTCTTACATAACCAGCTTTTTGGGCCAGTTGTTTTCAAAACCAGTGTTTTTCCTCTTTTGCATTAAGATTCTCCAAAGGTATTCTGAGTTCCAGTAAACTCACTTTGGTTTGCTTTTGCTTACTCATTACTGAATTGCTCTAGCAAGAGGAGATACAACTCAGCTGACCTATCTGGGGGTTGGGGAGAAGGGTTGGGACATGGTTCCCACTTTGTATAGAACTTGCAAGTTTTATTAATACAGTGTTCTAAACCCTTGGGTCTGCTGCCAAACTCCCTTTGTGCAGTAATCAAGTCTAAGACACTGAAATAGAGTATTAGGTGATGAGACCGTTTGGTGATTCCAGGTCAGATTACTTGATGTTTTTACTTGGAAACTACCATGAAAATTATAGTATGTAGACTATTTCTCTGTGTGAGCATTTGAATGATGAATTATTTTCAGTTTCCATAAGATTTCTTTAAAGTTGCTGGCCAAAAGTTCATCTCCTAGCTTTTATTATTTTTCATGAAGTTTCGAATGTTTCAATTTGAATGGGTCCTCTGAGTATTTGTGTGCAAATCTAGCACATTTCTAATTTTTAATTCTGATATTTCTAATTTTTAATTCCAGTATCTTCTCACGCTTCCTTTCTTTGTTTTCCTTCACCTATAGGAGTCCCAGAGTGTACTGAATCTTCCCCACACTAATACAGTTATGAACCAGGCCCCAGAGAGCATGCAGACTGAAGACTCAAGAAAGCATCCAGCTTCTGAATCAAGAAATGATGACAGCAATTTAGGGTGTGTTTCCACACAGTTATAATAATACTGTTTTAAGCAGGCTTATATGAAGTTCTGGTTTTAGTAGAATTTAAAACCTTAACAGCATTTTGCTTTAAACACATGGAAATAAGTGTTTTCATATCATAGGTGTTTCTTTCAAGTAAATAACATTGGAAGCAAAGAAACTGATAGAATGCAAAACTGTGGACTTTTACTTCATTCACTAACTTCTGATTTGGGCTTTTTGTGTACACAGTCCCTGCCTTCCCAGCTTCTCATTATTGCAAGGCATCGTGTGAGGCTCATAACCCTGGGGATAATAGGCCTAAAGCTGGAATAGGAAAATGATCATTAAACTTTTCTGCTGATTAGGTGTCATACTGATTTAATGTTGCCCTTCCCACTCTCCTAAGGGTGTTGTGGTCTAAACTGAAATTTTTTGGCCCTATTTGTCATCTCAAATGTATGTTTTATTGATGACAGGTAAGAAACAGAGTACCTGAAAGAAGCTTGCACTTTTTTCCTTCACTTGGAGAAGCTTTGAGAATATGTTGTCTTGGTTTTAAGACCTATACAAGATCCTAGATTGGTTGCAATAGCAGTCTTTCTCTCTTTCTTCCTTTTCACTGCACTGAAAGGTAGGGAGTCCTTGGATAGAAGAGATTCTTAGGCAGGCTTAGGTCTGTCTGCTGTTTTCAGTTGAATGTGGAACAGATTATCACACCGTACCAAAATGAAGGGTCAGATCTGTGTTTTGTTTGCCTTTTACAGCTCTTTAATTGCAACAGTACTTACTCCTAGAGTAAGTTCCCTTTGGTTTTTCTTTCTGTTTTCAGTTAATACTAGCAACCTGCACAGCTTTATAGCAGATCAGTAACAGGAAACTTAGAGAATTTCTGTATATCCCTTTCTCTCCTCCCAGCCTGTGTACACCAGAAAAATCTCTCATCTCACATTGTATTCAGTATTTCAGATCCATCTCAGAACACTCCACCACATGTTGACTGGGATTCTCAGGTAGCTTCTCCTGTTTTTGGAGCTTCTAGCAGTATGAAGAACGACTCAAGTATAGGTCATGCTCCTTGTATTTTAGATTCAGGATTGAAGACTAATCTCAAAACCAACCTCTTCAACAATCCATCCAGTTCCAGATCTCATAAAAGTAAATCAAAATCCGAAGATGTTGCTTTTGTTGCACCACTGAATCTTGGAACAGAAATCAACTCAGTTATCAGCCAGGCATCTATCAGTAGGCAAATGGTTGTGAAAAAGAATCCTAGTGAGGCTGTAACCTGTGTTGGAAACACTTGCACAGCTAAAAATGAGGTGATCAAGAGCGATTTCCTTCTTGTGCACCAGAAGCAGCTAGAAGGCAGGTGTGCTAAGAGAAAGAAAACTGAAGATGATCATGCAGTTAGCTGTGAAAAAACATCTTTCAACAAAGAGAACTCTGTGCCCTTTCGATCAGATGTTCAGCATATTAATGGGGAACATACAGTTGATAAGCCCTTGGATCTGTCCGATCGCTTCTCTGGAGTTCGTTGTCAAGAGAAAAAACAAGGAAGTGAGGAGACATGTAAAAATAGACTGAAACAGGTGACTCTGAATGACATTTTTTCACACCTGGGGAAGCCCGTTCCTGAAGGTTTATCGTCCATTCAAAATGCCAATGAGAGCTGTTTGTTTGGTAGAGATTTACAAGAGGAATCGTATGTACAAGAGGCAATGCTGGGAAAAACATTCCCAGATAAGAAAAAACAGATCCAAATGAAAGAAGAAGTTCCTCCCTTCAAATTTGCACCATTGCCAAGTTCTGCAGAGACAGAGGAACTTTTTGGCGATGTACAGGTACACTTTTCTGACTTCTTTTCTGCTCCTTTGGAGTACTATATTTAAGTTTTGGGAAATAGTAAAATTGCAATATGTTGTTAGGTTGCCGGTGGCCATGTACCAAATAGAAGGAAAACAAGGACAGGACATGGAGAGTCTGAACCAGCATCTGTGCTTCAACCAAACCCTTGCAGAGTATCAAAAGCACTGCAAAATGAGCAAGGTAACTTGATGAAAATGTTCCTTTTATTGCTGCCCTACCGCCTCAGCCTGCGCTATGGTTGAATAGAATGTTTCATATGTTACTTTCTTCCACTTTAATCACTTCGTTGTGCTTCTAACTCAGACTCATTCTATTTAGGACTTCTTAAGATCACCCCCCACATTTACAGTCTGTATCTTCCTGGCATTCTTTTGCCACTGTTTAATAAATATATCGTTGGTATTCAGGTGTATACTCAACAGGCTAGGAATCTTGTTCTTTCTTGTTTGTTTAGCATTGCTATTGTTTAGCAGTGTAATAATAAAAACCTCAGCAAGTTTGAGTTTAAACTTTTTTCAAATGCTTGAAAACTGTACTTAAGTGTAAGGATAAGCTATTTAGATAATATTTTTCATTATTCCTAATGATTTGTTAAAGAAATTTGTACCTTTAGTGATAATAAACATAGGCTGCCATATACTCTTCCTGTATATATACTCTTCCTTGTATCTTCTTTCCTATTAAGTGTTCTCAGTCTGAAAACTAATTTTTTGAACTCGGATTGTAAAATCAAGGCTTCTGTACTCCCTAGGTGAGCTATTACACTGCATACTTTATTTAGAAATACTTGTATTATGAATTTAAAACATATCTATCACTAGTTGGTGTGGCTGCGTAGCTTGGAATCTAAATATTCTCTTCACAGACAAATCAAGAGACATCTTTGGAACAATGCCCAGACACTTCTATACCCTTTTCTTACACTTCTATGCTCTTTTCTTAGACCTCACTCATTGATCTAATGTAAATAGCAAGCCAACTAGGGAAGGCACCCCCTGGACGTGTTGTTTGTGGACAGAAGGACTGGTGGGTGGAGTGATGGTTGGGACCATCTTGAGCACAACAGTCACAAAATGATAAGAGTTTTCAATTCTCAGAGAAGTAAGGAGTGGGGGGTAGCAGAACTGCCACCTTCGACTTATGGAGGGGAGACTTTGGCCTGTTTAGGATACTGGTTGACAGTTCTCCCTTGGGAGGGAGTCCTGAAGGGCAGAGGAGCCCAGGAAGTCTGGACATTCTTCAAGAAGGAAATCTTTAAGGCCCAGGAGCAGGCTGTCCCGATGTGCCGAAAGATGAGCTGGTGGGAAGGAAGACCAACCTGACTGAACATTGCCCGGAACTCAGGGATCAAAAAAGAGAGTTTATGAGCCTTTGGAAGAAGGGGCAGGCAACTCAGGAGGACACAGGAGGACTACAAGGATGTTGTGAGGTTACACAGAAAGAAAATTAGAATGACCAAAGCCATCTAGAGCTTAATCTGGCTACTGCCGTAAAAGACAATAAAAAATGTTTCTAGAAATCCATCAGCAACAAAAGGAGGGCTAAGGAGAATCTCCATTCTTTATTGGATGCAGGGGGAATCATAGTGGCAAAGTATGAAGAAGGGTCTTAGTTACTTAATGCCATCTTTGCCTCTGTCTTTAATAGTAAGATGAGTTGTTCTCAGGGTACCCAGTCCCCTGCATTGGAAGACAGGGAAAGGGAGCAGAATGAAACCCCCATAATCCAAGGAGAAATGGTCAGAAACCTGCTGCATTACTTAGACACACAAGTCTATGAGGCTGGATGGGGATGCACTGAAGGATCCACACCTGCTTAGTGGATGAGGGAAAGACTGAGGATGTTTACCTGGACTTCAGCAAAGCCTTTGATGTTGTTTCCCACAGCATTCTCCTAGAGAAACTGAGTGCTTATGGCTTGGACAGGTGTACTCTTAACTGCATAAAAAACTGTCTGGATGGCCAGGCCCAGAAGGTGGTGGCAAATGGAGTTACATCCAGCTGGTGGCCGGTCACCAGTGATGTTCCCCAGGACTCAGTGTTGGGGCCAGTCCTGTTTAATGTCTTTATCAATGGCCTGGATGAGGGGATCAAGTGCAACCTGAGTCAGTTTACAGACAGCTCGAGTTGTGTGGAAGTGTTGATCTGCTGGAGAGTAGGAAGGATCTGCAGAGGGATCTGGATGGATGGGCTGAGGCCAATGGTGTAAGCCACTTGGTCTGTTCAACCTGGAGGAGACTGAGGGGAGACCTCATCGTAGTCTACAACTTCTTCATGAGGGGAGGAGGAGGGGCAGGCACTGATCTCTTCTCTGTGGTGACCAGTGACAAGACCTGAGGGAATGGTCTGAAGTTGTGTCATGGGAGGTTTAGGTTGGATATTAGCCTAGAGGGTGATTGGGCTCCCCAGAGAAGTGGTCACAGTACCAAGCCTGACAGAGTTCAAGAAGCATTTGGATGATACTCTCAGACACATGATGTGACTTCTGGGGATGGTCCTGTGCAGGGCCAGGAGCTAGACTCGATGATCCTTGTGGGTCCCTTCCAACTCAGCATATTCTGTGATTCTGTGAAGGCCAAGTGCCAGGTTCTCCACTCAGGTCACAACAACCCCATGTAACATTGCTACAGGCTGGGGGAAGGGTGGCTGGAAAGCTGCCTAGTGGAAAAGGACCTGGGGTGCTGGTCAACAGCCATCTGGACAATGAGGTGGCAGTGTGCCCAGGTGGCCAAAAAGGTCTTTGTCAGAAATACTGTGGCCAGCAGGACCAGGGCTGTCACTCTGCACTGGTGGCTATCACTGTCACTCTGCACTGATGAAGCTGCACCTCGAATCCTGTATTCAGTTTTGGACCACTCACTAAAAGAAAGACATTGAGGTGCTGGAGCATGTCCAGAGAAGAAGGCAATGGAGCTGGTGAAGGGGATGGAGCACAAGTCTTATGAGGAGCAGCTGAGGGAACAGGGATTGTTTGGCCTGGAGAAAAGGAGGCTTTGGACAGACCTTATCGCTCTCTACAACTACTTGTAAGGAGGTTGTAGACAGGTGGAGGTCACCCACTTCTCCCATGTAACCAGATAGGACAAGAGGAAATGGCCTCAATTTGTACGAGGGGTGGTTTGAATTGGATATTAGGAGTAATTTCTTCACTGAAAGGGTTGTCAGGCATTGCAATGGGTTGCCCAGGGAATTGGTGAATTCACCATCTCTGGAAGTGTTCAAAAAACTTGTGGATTTGGTACCTAAGAACTTGGTTTACTGGTGGACTTGGCATTGCTGGCTTAATGGTTGGACTCAATGATCTTCAAGGTCTTTTCCAACCTAAACAATTCCATGAGCCTATGAATGTTTTCTATGCATTATCAATACTACCTGACAGAGGATTTACCTGCAAGTGTATTTTATGTATTGTATGCCTCATACAAACCCAAAGGTGTAGTGTGCTTCCTGAATACGACAAAAAAAAGATCTATTTCTAACTCTTCAGACAAAATACGATTTACACCAAATGAGCCTATTGGAGAAAAATAATCCCTAAACCCATAGATAAATTGATAAAAGGGAAGCTGATGTAAATTACACACTATAGGGTGCTGCTGGCAGAGTTTGATTCTGATTGTCTTTTTTTTCCCTCATATTCTCTGCATCCAGACCTGAAAGATAAACCCTCTTTAGAAAACCTACAGTGGAGCATAGACCCAGGAGCTGACCTTTCACAGTACAAAATGGACATTACTGTGATTGATACAAAGGTAAACTTTTATAACAAGCCTGCATGTTCTGTGATGTTGAAAAAGCCTGAAAAACTACTATCAGGAACATTGTTCTGGGTAGACCAAACCCATTTTCTAACAAAATTCTAAATTCATCTCATTTAATATTTGTTTGCACACCTGAAATGTTTGTTTTTGTGTAGTACACTACAGTTATCCTAAAACATTTCCACTATCTAGTTGATAAACTCAGCAGACATATACTCCATATGAAACTGATGCTTTTGGAGGTGGTTTTGAGTTTCTTTTAAGACAAAAAATATTCTAAATCTCATTATTTTTCCTGTGAAGATGTTCAGTGTGATACATCTGTGATATCTCTTTATGTTAAGTGATAGAAAATGTGCCAATAATGACTATTATCTTTCTCTGAGTTGGGTGCAGCTTGGTTATTAAGATCTCTGAGAATTTTCATGAAGTCTGCTTGTTTTGTCTCTCTCACTTAAAGACTATCTTAAAATCTATTAATTTGTCCAGTCTTTCATTTCTGTATGTTTCATTGTTACTTTTTATCTTTGGAGAGTTTAACGTGAAATTTTTTTAAGGCATTTCTTGCCCATCAAATAAATGCTTCACACTTGAATTTCAAAACATGTTATTCTTTATGTAGATTTTCTATCTTTATCATGCAGACATTACTGTGGGGGGAAAAAAAAGTGTCCAAAAAGAAGCCAGTAATTGCTATGAAAGTGTTTCAGAATACACAGAAGTGACACTGACTACACCAGTTGCATCTGAGGGCAATTGTCATTTTTGCTTTTTTTAGGGTGATTCTCAGAGCAAAGTCGGAGGGGAAGTTGTTGATATGGATTACACATATGTTAGTGATAGTGTGCTATTAAAAATGAAAAATCAAGAGCAAAATCAGGAAAGCAGTCCAAGTAAGACTTTTTTCTTCCCCTTTGGTTTGCTGCTTTTTGTGGTGTGTGGGGAGTTGATTTTTTTTTTTTGGTTGGGTTTTGGGGTGTTTTTTGTTGGGTTGTTGTTCGGAGGGTTTTTTTGACAAGGGAAGAGTGAATGGCATTTTTTCCCTGTATGACTATATCATAAAAAATGTTTTACAGTAAAAAACTGCTGATGTATTTTTATAGGTTGCACAGATCAGTCTGGTTGTGGATTTTAAATGGTTTTTTTTAAGATTAAGAAAATGATAGAATTTATGCCAAGAGAGCCAGTTCATTTGTAGTGCTCAAAGAGTTAAATACTTAGCCATGTAACAGCTCTGATCTCACCTGCAGCAATCACTCTTGTAACAAGCAGCTTTGAAAGTTTACTATGTCATCATACTAGACTTTCTATGGAAAGACTAAACGTTACTTCTTTTGATACACATTCAATCAAAATGCACTTTCTTGACTAAAATCGTGGAGAGGCTGATTTGGATGTTCATTGTACTTTTTATAATAGGAGGAGAAATAACAGAGATGTTTGATCGGACAGCCCATGAAGAATATGAATCCTGCCTACCAGAAGATAGTCCTTCTGCATGTGATGAAAAAGAAACTCTTCATGATGAAGAGCGGGATAAGGGAATAACAGTAGCAAGCAAGAAACTAAAGAGTGCGATATGATTCGATTTTGTCTTTATTAGACAGGTTAAACTGCAAAAGTTGATTTGAAATCAGTCTCTGTTCTCTGGGAACAAATATGCTGAGTAAACCATCGGTTCTTTTTTCATAAATTCATGTGAAAATTGATTAATTGTAAGGACATAACATAAACCAATATGATAATTATTTCACTAGTTCATTTATACAGTCACCACCCAAATGTGGGATGTGTAATGGAAGTTGGCAGAACAGCAGAACAGCAAAGTGACTCTTAGAGCAAACAGAATCACAAAATATGCTGAGTTGGAAGGGACCCACAAGGATCATCAATCCAACTTAGCCCTGCGCAGGATCATCCCCAAGAGCCATACTAGTTTTTTGCTACAGATTAATTACTTCCTTTCTTCTCCCTATCCTAGGTTCTATCAAAGATTTTACAGTATTTTGTATTTTAAGCAACCTTCCCTTTAATATTCTGCTTGTCTTTTTTACTTGTCTTGCTACTGTTTTCCTGCTACTCCAGGAATGCTTTTTGATTGTCGGTTCAATCAATTCTATATTGTTTTTAGTACATACTTGAATATGTTATCTCAGACTGAATGTACATGACGGGTTTTTATTGGTTTTAGTTGGTTAATAATTTTACAGAAGTTTTCCCAGGCAGTCTGTTCACCTTATATGATATGTAACTTTTTGTTTTGCATGTATATGTACAGAGCATGAGGATAAACAAGATAAAGCCAAACAGAAAGCTTTTGTGGAGCCATATTTCAAAAGTGATGAAAGGTAATTTAATTTGTTCTGTATAGACATTCTAAGGCTCTTTATATTCTCCCTATAGGGAGCTTGTTCCTCCATAAAATCAACATGTTTGTTATATATTAGCAGTTGAAGATGCACAGGCAAAAGATCTACTAAATTAGATAAAAGCCTTAGATAAAAGCTGGGGTAGGGGAAAAAAAGTAACCATGTTGAGATGCCTATCATATTTGCTGAAGAGAAGGTATTGCCTGTTCTGCTTTTTATAATTTATGGAACGCAGTGTTTTGTAATCCATGTGATTTCTTACAGGCATGTGGTCACGTATGAGTTTAAGAGCCGAGAACCTATAGGTTGCTTGTACAAATAAAAATCTTTCCTTCTCTGATATTTTCGCCCCTTGCTCTATGCAATAAATGAATAATGTTCAACGACTGTGCCTCTTAGTGCCTCCTCTATTTCTGTTTCTATAATCATCACTGGAAGTCTGTATCTTTATTTCATAATGATACCAAGCCCTTCAGTTAGCTTGTTTTTTTTTTTTTCACTTTGGTGTATGTTTTCTTTGTAGAGGAAAACTTGTTTAGTGTTTTGTGAGCAGATAAGTTGAAAAGAATCTGTTCTGGTCTTGAACCCTCAGATATGTTCCTCTCATGGAAATCAGTGCAAGCACAACTCAGACAAAAATAAATACTCTACAGAAGATTTATATTTGAACAATTTCTATCTAATAATTACTTTCACGCAATGAAAAGCCAGAATAATGAGACATACATCTCTGGTTATGTAAAAGATCATATTACATTTAAAAACTTTTATTTATAAAAATAGTCCTATTCAGCTATGAAATACAATCTGATTTGGGTTTTGCAGGCATTATCTGATATTTTTTTCCCTTGATTCTCCATCATTATGTTCTAAAAAACAGAAATTTCCAGTTATGTAGAAGAAATAAAAGTACTATCATATGTGAAAATGTTTCTATTTTTCAGAAAGAATACTGTGTTAGATTTTCCTCATATTGAGGTTATTCGAAAAAAAGAAGAAAGAAGAAAATTACTTGGCCATACTTGTAAGGAATGTGAAATAGTAAGTAATGCTTTAAAAGTTTGGTCAGTCTTCCATTCCCCTAACTCTGACAGTATTTAAGTGCTAAAGTGCTGTTGAAATCATGAATCTGGTTGCATCATTGTCATTGCCTACAGTAGCAGAGGAGTAAGTATTTACCAAAGCTGTTTTACCAAGTTTGTGGTTGGTTTGTTTGTTTTCAGCTGTAGTAACTGCATATAAAGTCTTGGGGTTTTTTTGTGTATATGTATTACAGAAGCTTCTAACATCATGGTTCCTGTAAGATAAGTAAGTCAAAGAACTATTAAAAGTTTTAAATTTCAGCTCAAAAGCTCTATTAAATTTACAGGTACTGGATTCAGTAAGTTCTATGTCCTGTTGTTCCTGTTTATAAATAGATATATCTATCTCTGTTTGATTTGCTTGTTTTTTCCCTTGTTTTCTGTGATAAGTTTTTCAAATAATTGCACCAGCATAGGTGGCAATGTTTTTATATGTGCAAATGCATGCAAAAATGTTTACATTAGCAGGATAAAAGGTATTACATTTCAGGTTTCATGATGACATTTTTTCCTCCCTTTCAGTTTAGTAAACTGCTTTCAGATACTTGGTGTAGAGATAAAATATTGAAGTAATTACATGTGTAATAAGGACAGATTTAATTTGGCTTTCAGGCTGAACTTAATCATTGGTGATTATCTAATAAATTATGACTCACTAGAAATGTGGATTGGTGACTGAATAATGATGGATTTTCTGGAATATTTTGACCTAATTTCCACACCCATATAGAATCAACATTTTTCATTGAATCTTCTGCTATTCAGTTTGCAGTCAAGTCCCATTTACTTAGTTGAAGAAATTTATAAGACTATATTTTTAATTAAAACACATTCCTGAAAAATAGTTTTGATGAAACTCATTAAATACAAATATTTAAGTTTTATAACTATAAACACCATTTTCAAAAATATGTTTAATTTAAAGAGTTTGAAAGAAAACAAGATATTGGAAAATAACAAAACCAAAGAAAACCCCCAAACCTTCAGTCTGTTTCTTGGTCCAAGAGCCATGTGGTTAGTGTTTTAATTTCCTGTTTCTGTAACCTGCAGATCTTCTCTCTAGAAATGCAGTTTTTATTACTTTCTGTCAAGTTAGAGTGGTAACTGTGGTGTCTGAAAACATTCACAGCTCCACTTTTGTAATAGTAGGTTTTTACATTAAGTGTCAGGAAAGTGTGGTTTTGTTGTTGATTTTGGTTTTCTGAGGTTTTTTTTTAGTCTACACCATTCAAGATGAATGTCTTGAAATGTAGGGAATGCTTGGCTCTGTCATTGCACAGTAATAAAACTAGCTTTGAATTAAATGCCTATGGAAGAAGGGAGTATTGGATAAAGCATAAATGATGCTTTTAAAAAGTTTTGGCTTACTGATTAGCCATGTGGGTTTGAAAAGTCGCCAAAGTCTAAGGAAATATTTTGGGAGTGGGTAGATATCAGTCAGTTTTTTCTGGCTGTGTGCTGCAAGTGATGTGAGTAGGGTGAGTTACCTGTCACTCTGAGAAGACCTGACAGATTTAATTTCTGCACATGCCGCAGCAGACTGATATTACAGTCCTTTATAAGTGCTTATCTTAAAATTGTGGAAGCATCTCATTCACTTTACAGTGTAGAACTTTTGATAAGACGTTTTGTTATGACTTTGCAATGCTATCAGAGAAAGATTGTAGGCAGGAGTTACTGGTACCTTGTAAAAGTAACATTTGTTAGTGTGGCTATAAAGTCTAGCTACACTTTGGATGAGTAGGACAATCAGTCAGATGTTTTTATATGCATTTAGATTGCAGAAATTATTCTGTAAGTAACTTTATGCTAAACTAATGGGAGTTCCCTTTCTGAGACTTGAAATTGTAGAGTTCTGTAAACAGTTATTTTACAGAGAAGACACTGTAGGATGAGATATGACCTATCTTCACCATGGAAAACCCTAGCTCGAATGTTTTGTGTGGACTGAAAATGCTGTGGACAGGGAAATCAATCTAGAAAACAGCTGAGAGTTCTTATTGCTGTTTAGCTGACATACATAACTCTCTCATTCTCTGTCAACCCTAATAGATTTCTAAACAAGCCAAAGAAAAATAGTTACTTTCTAATTTATATTTAAAACATACTTGTCTTAATTTTTTATTGGTCTTTTTATTTTCTGTTGCCACTGAACTGTACTGTATTTTTCATTGTTGGATCTATAAATATTCCTTACCAATCTAAATGTTTTAATTAAAAAAAAAATACAGCACATTACAAACTTTTAGTAGGTCAATTTCTAAATTTTCAGGCTATTTACAGGACAAAAATATGGAGCACTGCTAATTATCCCTAAATAAGACTTAGTATTATTTGGCTTATACAGATATTGTAGAATTCTTATATTAATTTTGCTGACTTTACACCATGTTCTTACCTTTTGCAGGGAAAATTGATGTGTTCCAGATGACAATTACTTGTTCCTCCTCTTTCATTAGTTTCTAGATATTTAACTGAGTGACACAAACATCTTTCCAGATGGATCTCTGAAGTCTAGCTGGAAAAGTAACCTTAATCTGTCTGACTCAATCCCCAAGATACTGATGATACCCACTTAAATTCTGGTCTTGGTATAGGCTTTTTCTGCTTTAAGGGAACGTTTTATAAGACAGTGGCAAACATTGTCAAATGAAGTGTCTACAAATTCAGTGACTGATCCTGGACTTAGACTCAAAAAGTTTTGAAGAACTTTCTACTAGGGACTCATAACAATTCCTGAATATTATCTATGGAATGGGCTGTTTATTCTGTCCCACATTCCCGGACTTCATAGTAGACAGACCATAACCAGAATTTTGGTTACAACCTGCTAACAACCTAAATCTGTGTTCTTGACTAGGAGATCCACATGTTACAGATGCATGTACTAATAAGGGAGAGAGCAGAGTATGTTCTGGTCTCACACTTTGTAAAATGGCACAAAGTCTGAATTGATTTGGGGAGGGGAGAAATGTACCTGTTTTAGGTAGAGTTGCAGTTCCCATGGACTACAGAATCACAAAATGAAACAAGTCTGCTTTTCCTATTTCATGCCGTTTTGACACTGACATATTCAGAGCTGTGATTACTCTTTTCTATACAATCATCAATATTTATATCTCATGATTTTTTGAAGGAGGATTTTTATGCAAAATCCTACTAGTAGTTGGGGAAAGGAAGTAATCTCTATTGGCTTTTTTTCCTTTTCTGATTTCACCAGTCTAGATCACTTTGCAGTTTATTGAATGAGCTTTAAACTTTAGTTTGCCTTTTTGAATTGTAACACTGTCATTTCAGCAGAATTGTATTACCACTTCTACAAGGGTCAGGTTTCTTGTGTTGCTGTGACTGTTGGCTTACCACTTGAATCACATGGTGAATTCACTTTGAAAATATTTTGGCACTCTCTGATATCAAAGTGCCAGATTCGTATTTTTAGGAGACACAACTAGAATTACAAATCAAAACAGTACAAAACTGCATGGAAAAAAAAACCAACCTAACTTTCTTAGATGCTACTCATGGGACCAATGCAGCAAAAAGGTTTGAAGTCTTTGCAACCTCCAGTACAGCTGACAGGAATAAAAGAGTAACCAATTTACTGTAGAGAATGTGTGGTTGGCAGACAGTTTGTGGAGTCTCAGTGACAGCTAGTTAAACTAGCTCTTTATTTACTCCTAATAAGAGGGTTATTAAGAAGGAAGAATTTTTACTTAAGTTTGCTGTTGCTGATATAAATGTAGACATGGGGCTTTCATAGTGTGTTTCTTCATTTTTTTAATTTTATTTGTAAATGCAAGCTGAAACTTAAAAAATTTTTAAAATTCCCATCTGTTTCAACACCTGTGCTACTTATATTTGTAAAATCAGTCAGTAAAATGGTTGACATAAGCAATTATACACATGCATAAACCTCGTACCTATGGTATGTTAAAAGATAGGAAGCTAACAAATTTGCCACCATAAATAATCTGTAAGTTTAGTAAGCTTTTAGGATAATTGCCAGGTGTTTGTCACTTGGATAATAAATCTCTGCTCTTGGCTATCCTCACCATTATTTTTAGATAACTGTGTTAATAAACACAGTGATTGACAATGTCATTGTGTAAAGCAGTTGCTGTATATGTATGCATTTGTTAACATGGATTCTTTTTTCCCCTAATATTTAGTATTATGCAGACATTCCAGAAGAAGAGAGAGAGAAGAAACTAGCTTCCTGTTCCAGACACAGATTTCGCTACATTCCTCCAAATACTCCTGAAAATTTCTGGGAGGTTGGATTTCCTTCCACCCAAACCTGCATGGAAAGAGGTTTGTGCAAAAAAAGATCTTACAAAGCACTTTTCAAAGCTGATTTTGTTTACCAGAAATGGTTCCCTGAAATTATCTGTAGCCTTTCTCACCCAGTCCTGTTGAGGTCTGTTTACTTATCAGCAGCCATTATTTTAAATAAATATTGTCTATTTTTAGCAGCTCCTGTACTACTAAGAAAGGAATATATGAAAACTTTCTTAGACCTTAGATAGAGAAGGCAGAAAGAATTGGGATTTTCCTAGAACTTAATTAAAACCCTACATGTCTTTGAATCAAAGCAAGAACTAGGTTTTCAGAGGCAAAGGCTGAGAGATTTTACTTACTGAGGAGAGACAGGCAGCACTGTTGATGTCATTTGTCAGTATTTTTAGAGCTTCGTAACACTACGTGATAATGGGTATGTTGCAGGTAGGGTGTGACTAAATAGTTTTTAATACATATACCCTGCTTGTTAGTGACAATAAAAAACTGTGCTGTTTGGGTTTTGGGGTTTTTTTGACTTCTCTTTACACAGGAGTTTGTTCTTTCCTAAATAATTTTTCAAAATCCTAGAGCTTGGTATAAAAATTAGGTTTTTCTAATTATATTAAAACATGGTGATTTTGTAGTACACTCTATATACATTTCTTCAGAAGTGGTGAGGAGCCCTATATGAACTCTTTGAGTTACTGATATCTTTACTTGTGCATTTGTTATTAGCTGTGAAGAATTAATCTTCTAACAACAGTGTCAGGTCAGGCATAGGAAAATGTAGCCAGAGAAGTGTATGCGTTCTTGTGTGGTAGTGTTGCAGTATTATCCTTAATCTTTCAGAACAGGGAGCTTTGATTTTTACATAACTTGTTACTACCCATTCAGAATCTGCTTACAGACTCTTTAAAAATTCTTGGCTGTCTCCTTGTTATGCTAGAATAAGAGCTGTTCAGTTGTTAGTGGTCCTCAAAAGCATATCAGAGGCAGACTTAAGATCAACCCTCCCTTGGAAAAACATATAATTATGTAACAGTGCATCAAGAACTCCAAAACACCAGAGAGAATTCCCACAATGAGCAATTGCAGCCGTTGCTCCGAAGTAGTGGGGTACAACAGATGTATTTTCTACTTCTTATTGGTACCTTGAACCAATTGTGGTTTGTGTTGGTTTTTTTTTTAAATAACTGAGTTACATAGACAGCATTTTTCAACTATGAAGAAGGAATCTACTACTCTCACTGTGGTGGATGTTGTTCCTGATAAACAGTAAGGGTTTGACAAAAGCCAGGTGCTGTAATCGACTTGCATAAAATGTCTGCTCACTGTCAGTGTTAGCTAAGTCGAGTGTGTTATAGAAATTTGCTATACACTTTTCTTATCAGAAAGCTTTCAAGGTGTGTTTGATCTGTAGGTTCATGTTTGGCTTTTTCCAGGTGGATAAGTCTTCAATAAATAAGGGTGCCCTTAAAACAGAGGGATGTACTGTTTAGACTCACAGAGCACATGTGCCTAAAGTGCCATTTCTCTGCATGACTAGGATTTACATTTTTGAAAGTGGTTTTTATTAGTCAACTGAATTAGCAGTGCTTGCATACTTTGTTACTTACATAAAATCTTCTGTAGAAAAGAAAATGAAAAGTGCAGTTTTGTTTTTTAACAGTTGAACAATTCATAGTTACCATTCTCTTCAGTGTTGACTGTCTGCAGTGCATTACTATGCACTCATCTACTAGAAAGCAGAGAAGTGTTTTAATGAATGATATTGCACCCTGGGATCTCATAACTTTCTGTGAAGTGAGAAACAGTTGCCACAAAAGGAAATAAAAATCACAAGTTATTTTTTGAGGGTAAACACAAATTTAAGCTAAAGTTATGCCCGGTTTTATATTATATTTCTTACTTCCGATTTATTCTTATTCTTTTAAGGATACATTAAAGAGGATCTTGCTCCCTGTCAGCGTCCAAAAAGACGGCAGCCTTATGCTGTGATGTTTTCTCCAAAAGGCAAAGAGCAAAAGACATAAAGGATGGGGAAGTAAGGCCTGCCAACTTGAAGCGTATCTTTCCTGCCCATAGATATTTATAGTTAATATAAACTTGAAATAAAGGACTATGTTTTCCACAGTGATAGATAAATTGTTTAATTGAATATGTAAATTTTATAGAATTCATTTGAAATTCTGATTTAGCAGGAAACAAAAACTATTTAATGTATGTTTGTTTCATATTGTGTTAATACATTTTGTATTAATTTTTGCACCTGTCAGACAATGAGTCTCCCACTTTTTTTTTTCCTTTGAAGTCAACAGCTAAAATTCCAGCAAATCCTGTCTAAACTTTGTGTCAGCGAGTAACTGCTTTTAAGTCACTGAAATCAGTTATTCTTGCAAGGGTAAATGTCTATTAATGGGAATAGAAATGTGGATTTTCTAGGGTGCTTTTATTTTGCACTGGATTTTCTTATATGGCCTTTCTCTTATGGCAGTAATGGTTATATTTGCTTGTAATAAAGTTGTATTAAATATGAAATGTATCTACTGTTAATAGTTTGGAAGTAGGAAAACCATGAAGTCTGTCATTCTTAAATTTTGGTGTTAAATGTATAGCACTGTGTTTTCCTAAGTATTTAAATTAGAATATCCAATATTTCTTTTTTTTTTCTTAATTTGGACCTGTTTGCATATCTATGTCTCACTTGTTGATAGAGATAAGCATTGTTATTCCTAAATTTGGGTGACAGCTCTGCCTAGAGTTCTCCTAGTGGACAGCAATGCTCATCACCTAGATTACAAAGGATTGTCCAGAGGTATTTTAAAATGAATTTTTTGTAGCAGGCAATAGAGTTCCATACTTGCGTTTAGGAAGTAAGAGAATACAGTATCAACAGAGGCAGGGTAATACCTACCTAGTGATCTTTGGCCTGCCTACCTATAAGATACTGAGGAATAAAGAAGCTACAATCAGAGTTAGGTTCAACCAGTGAGAACTCTTTTTTTTTAAAAGATATCATAAAGCAAGGAACTATTTAAATGCCTTAAGTAAAAATAAAATAATAGAAAATGCAGATACTCCAAGGATTTATATATTTAAAAAATTTTATATATATAAATGTATCTGTAATTTCTATTCTTGTATTTGATACTTGTGTGTGTGTTTGTGTGAGAGTGTATGTGTGTGTGTGTGTATAAAAATATGTATTTAAAAACTTGGTGGATAAGACCATTTGATTACAGGTGTAGTTATATAGAAATGTTGGCAAGTTCTGCCGGTGGAGAGGTCAGGGCATCATCATGGTTAGGCTTTGCAAACGAAGATTTGGGAAGGGCTCTACCCACATTTGCTACAAGCACTCTGGTGGCTAAAAAGGCCGATATGAGATAGACACATCCGGTTGCAAAAGGCACAGCAGAAAGACTCCTTAGGTGGTATATTCTGCAAGGCATGGTTCTTTCTGCATTGTCTTTTCTCCTCAAGAGTGATCCTGTGTGCGTTCTCAAAGGAAGCAGCAGCATTATAGATGGTGTGTCTCCAGACCTCCCGATTGGAGGCCAGAGTAGACCAGTTATGTTGATCAATATGGCCAAGGCTGAGATGTTGTTTCAGGGAATCCTTGTATCTCCTCTTCAGGGCTCCTCTCATGCAGCAGCCAGTGGCAAGTTCACCATAAAGCAAGATCTGAGGGAGGCGGTGGTCCTTCATCCTGGAGACGTGCCCTGCCCAACACAACTGTGTTCTCAGCAACATGGCCTCAATACTTGTGACTGCTGCCTGTTCTAGAACAGAGGTATTAGTCACATAATCTGACCAGTGGATGTTTAGGATTGTGCGGAGGCAGCATTAATGGAAGCATTCTAAGAGTCGTAGGTGGTGGCGGTAGATGACCCATGATTCAGATCCATATAAGAGAGTAGACAGCACTATGACTCTGTAAACACTGACCTTGGTACTTTTCTTCAAGTGTTTATTACGCCAAACTCTTTTATAAAGCCTACCGAAGGCACTATATGCCTTTGCTAACCTGTTGTCTATCTCTCCGTCAATCTTACCATCCAGAGGAGATGAGGCTACCTAGGTAATTAAAATGCTGGACTGATTTGAGCTCTGATTCGCCAATGGTGATGTGGGGATGACGGAAGACATCCTGAGGTGCAGGTTGATAGAGAACTTTCCTGAGGTGCAGGTTGATAGAGAACTTTTGTCTTCTTTAGGCTGACTTCCAGCCCAAAGAGCTCAGCAGCGTCTGCAAAGCAGGATGTTAAACGCTGCAGAGCTGCTTCTGTGTGGGCGATGAGGGCGTCGTCATCAGCATAAAGAACTCCCGGACAAGATGGTTTAAGGTCTTAGTATGGGCCTTCAGTCGCCTTAGGTTCAATAGGCTTCCATCAGTACGGTATAGGGCATAGGCCTAAAAAAAAATAAAAAAAAAATGTGATCAATTTAACTGTAACACTAAGTAACACAAAATCCTCGTAGGTTGAAATCACAGACCTTGCAGAAAGACAGAAGAAGGTATAACAGTAGGCACTGTCCCCATCCTACTTGCTTAGTTGATATATTTACTTTAGCCTTTCACAGGGGTATATCCTAAGGCATACCAAAGGCATAAAGCCAAATAACAATTAAAATCTTTGGTCATTCCCTTATATTATAACACATGCTGACAATAAATGTTTACACACTGTAGAAGTTCATTTCTTGGAGCAGGCAGTCAAAGAACCCTTGCCAAGGTAAGTCTAGTTTCCTGAAAAAACTTTGAAGAAAATTAATGGGTGCTGCCAAAAAGTGGAATTCTTGCAGATATCTTGAAAATTGTTTTAAGACAACTGTTAAATGCTCTGAATAAATATTTATCCATTAAAAAAAGAAGTTTTTAACACAAAAAGAAGGGTAGGAGACTGCTTTCAACTAGGGTGAGTCTTTACAAAGTAGAAGTTGTGTCCACAATAAGAAAAGTTGGAGGCACATCATAACTCATCAAATGTAAAATTTGCTATGAAATAGGCTGTTTGAGAACATTTCTGAAAGAATTAATTATAAATCCTATTTTAAGGAACTATGAGAAAGAACAAACTTCACAGTAAGTTTGTAAAGTAAAAGATCAAACAATAATTAGAACATTTAAAGGTAAGATGATGAGAAAAGTGGGATTTTTACAGCTGTGTTCGTTATGGAAGTGCGTAAGAACCTTCCTTTGTAGGGTGGGTGAGCAGAGCTGTTGTAAACTGAAATGGCAGAGAAAGTCAATGGCAGCCAGGACTGGAGCCCACTCCCATGGATTGGAAAGTGAGAGAAGAAACTATTAAATCCCTCACTGCAGCATGGAACCTGACATTCAGAGCAGCTTTGGTGGTTAAGAAGAACAAAGTGACAATTCTGCCACCAGGCCTTAAAAAAGACTTGAAGGAGATCAGTGGTACTGCAGCCTGAAGAGTTTTATAGAGTACTGGAAAATGGGCTAATTGGTAAGAGTATAACAAACGAGATTTTCAGACCTATGGATAAGTATGATGTGAAAAGATGACACTTTTTAAAGGTGCCATTCTGGTGGTCTTTTGGACTCTGAAGGTGTCAAAGCACAATGCATCTGACAGCTCACAGGAGAACCAAGTCGTGGCACAAAATGAAGAGTTCTTTCCTAGATATTACCTATTTAAAGGTACATAAATCATCACAGCAGGAGAAAATTACGGTGAGGTTCTGCTAGGTCCCATTTCACTCAGCCTTTTTATGTTTTGAGAAAGGATGGAGGGCAAAGTAGAAAGTTAGTTAAATTATTCACTGTGCAAGTCGAACTGGGATATAGAAGAGGGGGGAATTTGCAGAGCAGAACCCCTTCACACACAAGGAGGACTGTGAGAGATGCCAATGAAGTCATGAAGTGTAGAAGCAGTAAACAGGAAGGGTTGCTTACCAAGGGGCAGCAGGTTTAGTTACAAGCAGAAAGGAGCAAATATTGTCTGTGAGGATATTACTACTCCACTAGAGGACAGTAAGGAACTGCTTTTGTGCTTCAAACAGTGCAAGAGCTACCCTTTCCCTTTTAGTTAGCCAATTTTTTTAAGACTTCAGTTGCTTTTAAAATTGTAGATTTAAAAACTTTAGATCTCTTGCCTAGCTCTTCTAATGACAGAAAAAGTGTTTCATCTTCACAAGTAAGAGATCACTTTAAAAAATGTCTAGAAACAAGAATAGAAGCAGACTGATTTCCCTTCCAAAAAATAAGAGAAAATCCTAAAGAAATATCAGTAGTCTCAGGAATGTTTGGGTACCAAAAAGATGAGTGAAATTTGTAAATTTTAGAAGTTCAGTTAAAGACTATTATATGCAGTCACTTCTAATTACAGTTTACCTGCTTTTTTAGCAAACTCTTATAATAGCATGTCTTTAGCCCAGAGGAATTGAAGGAAAAAGGGAGCCAGTCAAGAAAGTCTGCTAAAAAAATAACTTTAAATATTGTTACATTTATAATTAACATTGGCTGTCTCTATCCTCTTCATGGCATGGCAGCACATTGTGATTGCAGTCAGCTGTGCTGTCAGAGGAGTGGACTGTGGTTTTGAGGGGGTTTTTTCCACATCTATAAGCACTGAAAAAGAAAGGAAATTTGGGATAAAAGTTGTAGCCTGAAGTAGGCCTGTCTCTTTAGAGGGGATTGGGACAACTGCCTGCTGTCTTACATGAAGACAATATTCGGAATTTGAGAGAGTGGGAGAAATTTCTTCAGGTGTGAGTATGCAAAGGAGAATCTCTGAATAGCAGTGCCTGTTGGGTCATGCATCCATCATCTGGTAGAACAGCCAGGACAGCTGCAGATGTCTTCTAGGTTCCTCTTCTTGTCTGTGTCTTATGAGATAAGGGGAAAATTAGCATAATTGATGCTAGGATTTGTGCCTCTTGTAGATATGTAGATAAATAATGATATGACATTAGCCATGATTGGAAGAGCTTGAAGACTTGACATTCATATAGTAATAACCCTCAAAGAAACAGTAATACCTAAGAACACATCCATTTGACATTGAAAACAATCCTCACTGGAAGGGGCTGAAGTGGCTTCTGAAAGTCAGTTTTTCCAAACTCGGTAATTCTCAGGGGTTGCAGCAGAGCTCCTTCTGGACTAACGGAGTACCGTGCATCCATTGCCCCTGGATTCCTAGTGATACTTAGCCTGTGATGTTCAGACACTGGTATGGGCCCAACAATTGTACAACCTTCAAGTCAGTGGCTTAGTGTCATTCCCAAAAACATAAAGATGGCAAGGTGATGGCTTTAGCACTTCCAGAGTGTTATCTGCCGGGTCTGCAAAGGGATCTCAGCCTGAGAAGCAGGCCTTTGTTTAAAAGCCATTTTGGGAGCTGCTTGGAGCACAGAAGTCACACAGATTGTTGGTAAAATGTCCACAGGCAAACTGCATTTCCTGCAGTGCCTTCGAGGCCAACTTGATCATTAGTTGCTTTTAATTAGTTGTGCTTTTGAACTTTGCCTTTCTCATGCAGAAAGGATGAATGCCTTGTCCCTAATGAAGCAGGAGGAAAACAATATCTGTTTGCTGGTAATTAGAAACTCCTGTCAAAAGAAAAAAGAAA